GGACCTCATGGCAGTCCCGAACCGTGGGAAGGTTAGAGCAGAGCTTTCCCAGGAAGAGAACTCCAAAAACCACCTGCCATCTTTTCTTATTCCCTTTCCTTATAATGGACGAGGTCTGCCAAAGAAACATCCATACGCTATCCCGGACATAAAAAAGGACTTTTATATGAGGCAAGGATGGTGTTTATGATACCTGCGCCCGGCAATTTTAGGAACACGTGACTTGCACGCGAGTTTCTTAAAATTCTCATACATTTGTAATAAAAGACACACGCAATGCGTACGGCATATTTCTTTTTTTGTGTGTGTAAGATAATAAAATTAAATAATTGCGTGAAGGAAAGGGTTTGGGGAAAATTTGAAAAACGTCAGACTCCCAGACAAAGGAGACAGTCTTCGTTTTGGCTTCGCGACACAAGACCACTCTGTCAGTCACGAGTGTTTTGCCAGCGCCATGGAAACAACGTGTTGGAGAAAAAGAGTGGCTTCTTTTTGCGTGAACGAACGCAGAATTAATTAATGCGGTCCAAAGAAAGGTCTCTGACAAATGTACAACCTCCGTCTTTGAGATTGACAGTCCGAAGTTCCCATTACACAGGATTGTCTCACGCATTCCTTTTGCGACGAGTAGGTGAAAGGCGGACACATATCCTACTTTCTTGAATAATTAGAAGAGGGTTTGGACAAACGATGAAAACTCGAACACAGAGACGACGGAAGCTTGCACAAATTACAGGCACACAACTGTCATTTGTAAGAATGTAATATATTTTGGTAGCCTTAAGTTTATAAGGTTGGCACCAAGGACATAAATCTAGGAGACTGCTGAAGAAGTTGGGACGAGAGAAATAAAATAAAACTGGAGCAGGAATCACAAAGGAACCAATTAGCGAGCCGCGTGTGTCCTTCGGTCTGTCCGTCACTTTATTCAACTGCAAATATTATTATTATTAACATCGACAAATACGGGCAGACAACGCGAAGCCCTGCTTCCAGTTCGCCGCTAAACTGACACGACGTACTTGCAGCGAGTGGGAACCGAACTGGTTCCCGTGGTCTCATTTCCATATTAAAGCATCTTGGGGTCATACGCAACGCGCAGCTAATGAACGGGCTTGCCAAGGTGACGGCGAAATGGCGCCCTACAGAACAAAGTAGGTTATTCCAGCTAATTTTTTTTATTATTTATTTAGTGTTCTGTCTGACGACAGGTCCATATGAACAGGATCCTTCCATCCCTTTCTCGGACTGGGACCTGTTCATATACGTTCTTGGCAGATGATCCAGAAGTGGTTTGCCATTGCCTTCTTCTGTGTGTGAATGGAGTAATTGTTGGGATGCCACGGAGGAAAACTCCGTGTTGCCTAGACCACGGCCTTGCCCAACACAAGTTATAAATTCGGGCACCGCCGGGAATCGAACCCGAGACCCCAGGATTACAAGGCCAATTTTTTAACCATCTGGCTAAATACGTAACTAACCACTGACTACCTAACTAACTATCTACTTGTCTACTTAGCTAACTGCGATAACAGACAAACAAACTAACAAAGTACAGAAATTGCAACTGTGTCCTTTGCTTCTAATACTTAACGCCCTGTTCTAAGAGATAAAACTGGACAGATTGTCTTTACTCGAATTCCTGTCTGTGACAATCTTTCAACTTGTGAAGTCACATCTCGGAATACTTTTACAAAGGTCTGAAAACACGAAAATACGAAAACTGCATCGCATTACAGACCCACCAACCCTCAAATTCCACTTCAAGTCTTATCATGATTTCTTTGTCTCTTCTTCTTTTCCAAACCGTGACGACACCTGGAGTTCTTGCCGACATTTTCCCACGGTTTCAGCGACAACTCACCCCGTATTATATGGCGACAAACAAACGACGCCTTCTGTACTAAGGACATTGTAATAATAGCGCTCTCAAAACCAGGGGCAGGGCGGGATGTTATTTCACAATTTCTGTATATTTTACAATATTGATGAAGGTAACGTGGAATGAGATATGAAGCCATTTGGTGACTCTCATTATGAAAACACACGAACGGGATTAGTTTGCTGAAAGGGTGGAATTGTAAGAAGTTTGTTCGTGTGTCAGGCACGTTTTCCAGACAGGCTTCTCCCCCATCCTTTCTCCTCAATCTTTCCTTGTACATCCC